GGAGGGATATTAGAAGGCTGGTCGTCCAAGTCACAAGGCATATATATATGCATATATCATAGAATTATGAAGTAATAATAATATTGCAAATATGGTAAAATTAAGGTAATGTGGAGATAATGGAAACTGGGATTTGGTTTTCCCTCTTAAACTAAATATGGAGTATCAATTAATAATATTGGACATCTATTCATTCTTTCTATAATATTTTCTAGTTTTTTGTAAGTTTTTTTTTTTTTTTTCTTCTGAAAATGTATGATATTCATTGATAATGTACAAAATAAGTATAAAAAGAGGATAGAGTGCATATGTACATGAGCCTCGATAAAACTTTATTGGGAATTTTCTTTCATTTAAATTGTACTTGTTACTAATCTTTGTTGGTGTCTTAAGATAATTGATTTGTCGACTACAGAGGATTCAGAATTCTATCCATGCAAACATGCGACCTGTAGAAGTAATGGCCAATGCTCTTCCGATGATGATGGGGAAGATGTTTGTTTTGCAGCGGAGAGAGCTTTTGTGGATGTTATTCGTTGCCTTTTTTGTTCGCACCAAGTGGTTGTGAACTCTATTTCTTGTTAGGCAAACGAGGTGGCACATTGGATGGCTCGCTATAGTCTAAGTCATCGAGGTGTATCTTTTTGGGACGATGTCAGTCTCCTATGGTTAATAAGTTGTTTACCTGATGATTATTCCTAACGTGATCTGTTTTGTTTCTAGCACAGGTGACTCTTTTTTTCTTCCATCAGAGATTTTCCCATGTGGTTAACCCGAGATGAAGGTTCTTTCAGAGCCACGTTCTTCTTTTCCGTGCTCTCTCTATCTGTTCCTTTTTATCTCTTATGAACTGAAATCCTTTATTACCTTAAAAAAAAGTTTGCCGTAACATTTTGTTTTGTTACGATATGACCCTCCACTCTACCAAAATTTTAAATTGAAAAAAAAAAATATTCTAACAGCATTTAGGAGAAAAATAAACAAAATATACTCCAATATTCGAAGGAATGCTTGTTATATTAGGAGGACGGAAATTATTTAAATAGAGCAATACTGAGCATAAAGAGAAGATAAATCACAATATTGAACGGTTTAAATCATGAAACTGTAATACTAATTTAACTTCTGTATAATCAAACAAATAAAATTAAATCTAACTTATTAATTCTCATGCAAGCAACCATACAGAAACAAAAAATCTGGAAACAAAATAAAAAAAGTCACAAGAAGAAAAAACAAGGGACAACTCAATGCAACTCAACAACATACAGAAAACTGATCAATTTAACAATTGAGATTTAAAAAATAATAATTTTACTAATTTCCTCAAAAGTAATGCGCAATGACTTACTCATTCTCATTCCACTAGACATACAAGTTTTAGGAGACGACCAAACCTCGAGATGCTCTTGCTAGTACTTGAATCACTCGATCGGACCAATTCACACTCAACAACAATATGATGATGAGGAACAAAGCATATAGAGAGATCACGAACACAGTACAAATCTCTTGATTACCTCAATGAAAGGCTCAAAGAAGTAGTCTGAATGTCCTTGCGTTTATATTAGCCTATAAATGGAAAAAATTATTATCCTATTAAGAAAGTAAATCGGTCGGATTCTTCCTTTCTTTTTTATTATGGATGATGAATTAATCCTGCATCACAATTCGGGAAATTAAAACAAATTTTTGTAGAAAAAGAAAAAACTCGTGAGTTTTAATTCGGGTAATTAATTACAACAATCCTATTAAGAAAGTACAACCTACGTCAATAAGGATTTTATTATTATTATTATTTTTTTTAACAAGCGAAATTAATCCACACTAAGGGAATAAGGGAGTGGGCTAAGCCTCACAATGGGCTAGCAATAATATGGTTTAAATTCGCTTTCACGAGAATCGAACCTAAGATATCTCACTTACAATTGAAGAAGATACCACTAGGGCGTACTAAGTGGCTTGTCAATAAGGAATTGGATTAACAATCCTACACTCACATAAGGAATCGGCCTTCGTTGTTTTTTTATTTGGCTTAAATGTCAAAATAGTTCCTCTATTACAACTATTTGGCTAATTTTCCCCCATAAAATTAAAAATTAAAAGAAAAGTTACTCTCCTCCTAACCTTCCGATCTCCTCCCTAGCATTCTCTCATCTCCTAATTCCCCCCACCCTCTCTTTTCTATGTCATAACCTTAATAATTTTTTTAGTTGCAAATTTTATCTCTTATATGTGATATTTTTTATTGATTTGTATTTTTCTGTAAATTTAAATTTAAACAAAGAGAAAGAGTAATATATGGCTATCTCAATTATAGTGGTCTGTTGCACGATTACACAATTGGAGACGAGGTGGTTGAAGTTATTTTTCTTGGGACTACGATAATAGGTGGAGTCGAGATGGATCTAGAGACACATTCTTCGAGTTGCAAGCGTGTGTGGCTAGGATCGGGGTGTGGGTCTAGGATTAGGGTATGGGTCAAGGACAACGCGGATGACATATTGAGTTTTTTTATTTTGAAATTATATTTCTTTCTATTTTAATTGAAAAATAATTTACTATAATAGGGTGTGTGGTAGTATTTTTATTAATTTTTTTAATAGAGATTAGATGAAATGTTCCTAATTGGCTAACAGAGATAACCACGAGGACTAAGTTTATATTTATTTTTAAATATTTTAAATTAAATAGATAACTTTATAAATAAGTTCATATTAATTTTTTTATTAATTTTTTTTTTTAACAAAGATAGGAAGAAACCAAATTGGTCAAATTAAAAACACATGGACTAAGACTATAAAACAAGGACCACTTTGACACTTAAGCATTTCTATTTTGTAAGTTTTTTGTTTAGAGATATACCTTTTCCAACATAATATTCGATAACCATAATATGAGCTACTTGTAAGTGAAAAGTTTAAGGTTTGAATCTTGCAAGTGCCGAGTTCGCAATCAATTTATTCACCACCCCTTACTGTAAATACATCTTTATGGATAATGATGAGAAGACAAACTATTTAGACCACATTTCGTAAACCATATCGACATAGTTGTTATGATTAGATTATTACTTAACTGTTGATTAACGTGCTTATTATATATGAATGATATATCACATGGTTTACAAATTTAGTCTGAAAAATTGATCTATCTAGCATTATTCTATCATATATTGGGTCAATTGCTGAGCGGAATCAACAACTTACATTAGTTTAGATACAGTTGTATTCGCATTTCACTAAGTTAATCGAATTTGATTTAATCCGCCTCAACTGTAGATAAGCAAGCTGAGATTGATCACATCTGTTGAAGTAAAGAAGACACTCAATCCCAATCGATGAGAAACAAAAAATATATATGCGCTAAAATAAACGCAACGACGGAAGTGCGTAGCCACTAATACATGTGTTTCTAAGTCTGCCTGTAATTGGAAGGAATCTTGGGGATATTGATACTATTAACAAGTGTTTTGTGATTTGCAGGTGTGATTAGACAAGATACAAATTGTAGTAAAAAAATGAAAATAAATAGAAAAAATGGTGGCGTAGGTGGTGAAGTAATGTCAAGAGCAAAGACTAAAGACCGTTTCTCTTCCACTTCTCTGTTGCAAGTTTGAAAGTCGAAAGGTTCACAGTTGAATAAAAGGATGCTCTGGACCTCTGGTGCCTCCGGTCAACGCCGGTCTGCTTTCCGAATATAAGAGCATCTCTAAAAGAAATATTCAAATATTCAAATTATCAATAACAGTAAGAAAAAATAGCATTAATGTTTTCCAACCGAGTCAAATTTGATGTGGCATGATATAGATTGAGATTTCTCCTCCTTGCTGCCAAATTTGACAGTACCTTCATATTTTTTTAATTAATTATTAAATGCTTTTTATTAGGTTTTTATTGGTTTAAATCACTATCCTTTTATTTTTTTCATTCCCAATGCAAAGAAAATACATATGAATTATTATTAGGAAGTGTTATTGGCACTTCAAAATTCTCATTCTACACTCCTCTCAAGTGTATTTTTCTTTCCAAATATAGAAAGTTGGGAGTGTAGAATGAGATTTTGGAGTGCTAATAATAATTCTCTTACTATTTTATGTTTAAAATTTGACATATCGGTTGAAGATCAAAAGTTTAAAAAATGCCAAAGTGCCACGTAAGTCTTCAAATTTAAATTTTAAGTTTAAAATTTGACATCTCCTTTGGAGATGGTAAAGCACCAAGGTTATGTGCTGTCTATTTGCCTCATAATTTCGGAGGCATATTGTCTACCCTCCTGTTTGGGTGCCCTTCCCATCCCCTCCTATTTGTGCGTTCACAGTTAAATCAACATTTTATATTCCTATTGTTTTTTGTCTTATTATCTTTATAAAAAAAAAATTAATATAAAATATTAACGTGGCTTAACTGTGACCGCACAAAATAAGAAAGGATAAGAATGACACCCAAATAGAAGGGCAAACAATCTGCTTCGCATAATTTCTCCTACAAATTATAACAAATAATATTAAAAAAAAACAAATATTTTCTCCAATATTTTATCTCTTTTTATTCGTGTATGACCATTCCACTCTCCAACTTCGAAGTCTGTGTCCTCAGAATTTTTACGTACATGCATATGTCATTATACAGGCACAAAGATACTTGAATAATATACTTGATTCGATTTATATTATAATATATGAAGTACTGGCTGCTACGTGTTTTAAGTATATTGAAAAATTTATCACGCGAAAATTTTCAAACCCACAAGGAGGCATACTTCACTTATAAAATTTAGAGGTGTTCCATTTGAAATGATTTTATTTGTTTAAACAAATTGTAAAGTGACTTTTTATTCAACATTGGATTCAAATCTTATCTTTTTTCAGTGTAGATTAAGATAAAATATCGTTTAAAAGAAAAAATAAATTAAAACAAATAAATAAATCAAAATATTTCAAATGCAAATGCCGATTAAAGAATAAAATACCACAAAAATCAAACACTTCTCCCTCTCTCTTGCTTTCTCTCCAAGTTGCGCGTTTAGATTGATTCGGAAAAGTCAAAGATTGTGCGCATACAAAAACCAAGTTCCTTCCTTTGTCACATTCTCTGCTCTCATTCATTTGCATCATTCGATCATACAGTTTCTGGAATTGGCTGTAAATCTTTCATCTTCTTCCTTTGTTTGCTTTTTTGGGTTCATTTGAAGCAATCCCAGCTCGGCTTCAGCAAAAAAATAAACTCCCTTTGATTGGCTTGGATTTTTCTTGGTTTTTTTTTTTTTTTTTTTCCCTCAAATCTCCCCAAAACTTGATTGGATGCCAATTTTCCAGCTTCTAAATTGAAACCCATCTTTCAGATTCTTTGGTTTGGATGCTCAACTGGTTTACTTGCTGCTACTTGATTGAAAGTTGAGGTAAATTTCATTACTTTGCCAACCTATGAATTCTGGGGTTTTGAATTTTTCGTTCCAGAATTCTGTGTTTTCACTAACTCCACTTTAGATTGGCGAGCGAGTTGTAGCTCAAGTGGTCAAGAGCGTTTGTGAATCATGGAGGGGTCTCAGGGTGGTTCTGGTGGCGCACCGGCGCCTTTTCTGACCAAAACATACGACTTGGTGGATGATCCTTCTTCCAACCACATGGTGTCCTGGAGTGAGAGTGGTTCTAGTTTCGTAGTTTGGGATCCCACCGAGTTCGCCAAGGAAATGCTTCCCATGTATTTCAAGCACAACAATTTTTCGAGTTTCGTGAGGCAGCTTAACACATATGTAAGTTCTTTGGTATTTCCTTCACTTTTGAAGCATTTGATTTATCTTGAATACAGTTTTTTTTCTAGGCATGGAAATCATAGTATTTCGATACAATTCACTGCATGATGTATATGTGTTTAATTTTGTTGTGATAAACTAAATTTAAATGAATGATTAACTTAGTGGCATTATAAACTTCAAAACTGGTTAGTTTGTTCGCAGTTTTTTTGTTCTACTTTGTGCTTGTACTTGCTTTATTGCCCTCTGAAGTAGGAATTGTTTGCGTTCGTAAGTCAATCTGATCTTTTTATCATCTGTTGGAGTATTTGTAATCTATTTCATAAGCAATTGCAAGCATTATGATGCTGATCTCATTTTTTTTTTTCATAATTTTTCTGTTTACAATTGTGTCTTCATTTTTTTCGCCTTTTCTAGTTTTCTGTAGCTTGCGAGTGCGCTAGTCCATTTGGTCCTTTGCCCCAAAGGTGATCAAAATTTTGAGGATTCTTGTAGATTGTTTCTCTCATTGAACCAATTGAGAGGGAGGTGGTCCCTCCTCAGAAATTAGCTGGCTCTATAGAATCAAAATGGAAAACTGTTTGGTGATGAGAGGACTTGAATATGGCTAAGACCATGAAGCGCCTATAGTTTCGAGCCATAGATGCTTTTCCTCTAGGTTCCAAACGCAGACAAGTTGTTTGATCAAGAAAAGAAGTACCCGCGTATAAAGCTTCCAAATTAAGAAACCTGGTCGTGGAAAAACTTCTAAAAATGATGGAGGAAACAAGAAATATTTCATTTTGTTTGGAATGACAAAGCAGTGGTGAGGGAAATCTGAAGAAAGTGCAGTTCACTAGTACCTGTTTTTTGTGGGGAGGGAAATCTGAAGAAAGGTCATAATTAAGTTATTTTTCATCCAAAAGAGCAGGTCACTCCTGAAGTCGAATTATAGACTTTTGCTCTTAGTGCTGAGATTTATAATTGCTACTTCCTGGACTTTTTTTCACTTTCACTGTGCTGATGAAAAACTAAACCATTGATTGCATTCCCAAAACGGTAACCAGAACCGGCCTTAATTTTCTTTTAAAAGAGAGGCAAAAGGTCTTAGTTGCATTTTATTGGGCTAGTGCTACATCACGGTAGAGGAAGACCTGGGAAGACTTGTAGGGAGGCTCTAAGAAAGACATGGAGTACTTAGAGCTAAAGGAAGACTTGGCACAAAACCGAGCGCAATGGCGTTCTAGGATTCAAACAGCAGACCCCACCTAGTGGGAAAAGGCTTTGTTGTTGTTGTTGTTGTTGTAGTAGTGCTACTTTTCGGTTTGGAGATCAGAAATCTGCTGTAAGGAGGATTTAGAGTATTCCTCAGGAGATTAGAAAGCTTGAAATAATTTGTAATGAGTGTGCTTGATTAATATAGCATGTGCTACTTTAGTACAATATTTGTTTAACCTAGCACCATGAAATTTCTTTTTCCTTTTGAGTTGTTAATCTGAGTACTTATGATTTGTAGTTGTTAAACATCTGTGTTCTGTATGCACAGGGGTTTAGAAAGATTGATCCTGAACAGTGGGAGTTTGCAAATGAGGAATTTTTAAGAGGAGGAAGACATCTGCTGAAGAATATTCACCGCCGCAAGCCAATTCATAGTCATTCCATGCAGAATCACGAGTATACAGTTGCTTTACGTGATACAGAGAGAGAAGAATATGAGAAGAAAATCAGTAGACTAAATCATGATAAAAGCTTGCTTGAGTTGGAGCTACAGCGGCATCAAAGAGAGAATCAGGAGTTTGAATTTCAAGTACAGATATTACGAGAACAACTGCAGAACATGGAGAATCGGCAGAAGCAATATACGGCCTTCTTGGCTCAACTAGTGCAGAAACCGGGATTTGCTTCTGTACTTGTGCAGCAGTCAGAAATCCATAGCAAAAAGAGAAGATTACTGAATTCTAACCACTTTCCTGATGACTTTGGTATGGAAGGTTTGAATTTGAATCCGCAGAAAGAAAATTTGGGATCAATTTCAACTCCCATAATAAAGTTGGACCAGCTTGAGAAGATGGAGTCTTCCTTAAACTTTTGGGAAGATTTTGTCCATGGGATTGGGGAAGCAATGCCCGAAGATGTAAATGATATTTGCCCGTTGTCTCAGGCCTCTCCTATCATTGTTACCGAAATACAAGACACCAGCATGAATAGCAGGCCTTGCTCACCTAGATCACATTTATCTTCACCGAATTCAATGAATGCTCATTCATTCCCAGAGGTGGCGGCTGGGTCTGCAAATATTCTTGACATCCTTGCTATAACATCAATGTGCCCCACTGTTGATTTCAGGTCTAAATCTTCAGGAATCGATATGAACTCTAAGCCCGACAGTGCCCCTGCACTTGCCAAAGAACTGGTAGTGGAACTGGAAGTGAAAAATGCCGCGCCTACCAAGGCAAATGATGTATTTTGGGAACAGTGCCTAACAGAGACCCCTGGTTTGGCTGATGCGCCGGAAGTACAGTCAGAAAGAAGGGATGGCGATGGCAAAGCGAGGGATGCCAATCCAGCTATCCAGAAGAAGCATTGGTGGAACACGGATAACGTAGATAACTTCACGAACCAAATAGGGCGCCTCACTCCAGCTACATAATCTTAGTTGAACTGTAAACTCTTCGGGGTTTCGATGTTCGGATGTGTACTGTTTACTTTAAGGTTGATTTACTTAGTCAAGTATTTCTAGACATTCCAATTTTTCGAGCTCTCTTGTGGAGCATATTTGATTCTTTCTGATGTAGTGTGGAATTAGAGACATCCATTAGTTTAGTTTTTGTAAGTAAATAATATGAGGTTTCAGGTAGTTTTCTATTGCTTATACCTACCTTAATTTCCTTGTTTTATTATTTGAATTTATCTATTTTTTGTTTAAATATAAATTTGAATGCAACTTGACTGCATGCAATTTATACTGGCAACTTTGCCTGATCTTCAATTTTGTTATATTGATTCATCAGCAAATTTGATGGATTAAGAAACAGAGGTCTGATATTGCAACTATGTCTCAACTTTGGGTCTAAAATAGCTACACTTTACGTATAAGTATGAACATATATACTTTACAGTCCATCCCATGAAAGAAGTTGCCAAAGAGTGTTTATTTCAGTCCAAAATGTGTTCCTAACATAGTTTTACTTGCATAATTAATTATGCATTGTATCTGATAAATATTGAGTGCACAAGTTTGGGGTTGGATATCTTCAAGGTTCAGGTGCTGGGGATGAAGCTGTTTGATTTGTTGTGTTTTTTTGTTTGTTGTTTGTTGTCTGTTGGCCTAACAAAGGACTATGACGAGTTTTTCATAATGTCACATACCAGGGCTTCTATGTTGAAGGATAATCTTTTTTGGCAAGTTAAACAAAAAGTAATGCAATGTTTCGTCCTCATGAGCATTATCTTTCTGTTTGGTTGCATTTGATTACATAACTGAGGTTTTGTATTGTCTTCGCATTGTGTTTATAATCCTGAGATTGTAATATTTATTGATGATTTTCTTCGGTTTATTTCATCAATAGAATGTTTTTGATTCAAAATAGAAAATGCATGATAAATGAAACTTGGACAAGATAAGTATGAATCAGAAATTGGGTGAGTTATGTAACCCAACGTCACACACAATTACAAGTCCATTTGCACGAGGCGAGATGCGTAGTGTCATGTTCATCTTTCTCTTCTCTCTTTGTCATCATCTTTTGCTCCTCTTTATGTCGTCATCTCTCTCTCTAGATCTCGTCGCAAGCAGCATCATGGTTGTGAGTGGTTAGTCCATCTTCTCTATTATCATCTAATTCTAATCCTAGTTGAGTTAGTCTACACTAAAAGTAAACAAAAAAAAACCCGATTGATCAAATCTAATCTTAGCCTAACCAGTCTAACGTATAAATCTTATCATGTATAGAGCACCAAACATTCTTTTAAATAATTTTAAATTGGTGTGAACCTTACGAAAAATTTGAAATAGCTACTTTACATTTTAAAAATTTAACATCTGTTACATCTCTAGCATTAAGTGATGATATCTCCCGACCAATTCCTTCGAACTAAAAATATTTAAAGTTTAAAATGGAACAATTTAATGCTCCAAAAATAACGAGTAGTGAAAACTAGTTTCAATATTTATGTGAGAATTCAGAACCTTGGACAAATTAGCTTTGACTGGTTAAGTGGTCAAACTTATTGACACTGCCTTCTAGATGTTTACTAAGTCATTCATCCAAGTCTAAAACAAAAACTAGTTTTTGGCAAGGAGTAATTCCATACGCCATCCCAGCCAAGTGGTTATAGGCCGCATTAAATTGACAAAATCAGTCTTCAATCAAACAGTTAAAAAGGGCACCGGACTAAAAGAATAGGGTTATTTAGTCTTTAAATTATCATCTCAATGAAAATTAGATCTTTGAATTATTTCTTCAATAAAATATGTCTCTAAATTCATTAAAAATTGCTAATTTCATCTCTATTATTATATTCAATTTTTGTCAATGTAAGTCACTTGACATACTTTAAAGATAATACCGTCATTTTCTCGCCTAAAAGCCCTTAACATTTCATAAAAATTGCAAATCTAACGTCTAATTTACCCTTCAAAGTTAACTCCATACACTATTTTTTATATGAAAAATTACCAATCTATCATTCAATGTGTATCACATGCAAATAACGTGATTTAAATTGACAAAAAATTGAGTATAGTAGTTTCAAATATACTATAAGGGGTGTAATTGACCGATTTTTATAATTCAATGACTGATTTTTCTGAAAAATAATTTCAAAACCTAATTTTCACTTAAGATATAATTTAAGGACTAAATTAATAGTTCACCCAAAAAAATAAGTCTAAGTTTGACATGCAATGTATAGCTCCATGGCAAGCTAAGCCCTAGTTTGGTACTGAGGTGATTCTGAAAAAAGTGGCTATCAAAAAAAGCTGGGAGCTTTTTTATGTTTGGTAAACATTCAGCTTCAGCTTTTTTTCATAGTTTTGGGTGAAAAAAGAAAGCCAAAAACACAAAGCTGCAAAACCCAGCTTCTTTTCACATCTGTTTTACATAAAAGTTTATCAAACACTATAATACTGTTTTTTTTTTTTTTTCAAAAGTACTTTACAAAAAAGTTTACTAAACATTATGGTGCTTTATTTCACAGCCGCTTATTCTCACAGCACAACAGAAACAGTTTTTTTTCAAAGTACAGTAATACCAAACCAGCCCAAGTTTGGCCCCAAAAGTAATAAAATATGAAGGAAAATAAATACCCTGCTTAGCTGAAGATTGAAAAACTAAGCCCTAAAATAGTCTTTAAAATATCAATTTTTAGAAGACTAAAACATAACCAAATATTACGTTTAGTACTCCGTGACTGCAGATGGCCTTGTATCCAAGTCGGTGAACAATGTCCCTTCAAATTTTTAATACCACTTTCTCATGGGCAATGACGAAGAATAAAGTCCCTGTGTTTGTGATGATCGAGCTTTACTTGAAACACACTTTTCAATTTCGTACCGAACTTTTGAATGCTAACCGTTTCCCATCACTTTTTCATTTACAAGTTAGTTTTGCATCAATACCATCATACATGTTGATTGGTGACCTATTTCTTTCTTTCCAATTACAATTCATAACATAAAAATATGAAATATATGGATACAAATATCTAAATCAAATTTTTTTTTTAACTAATTATGAACAAACAAATTTTCGAATTCTGCCACTTGGTACTTCAGTATAATAGTTATTCTTCATTTTAAATGAGAGGTCTTAAGTTAAATCTCGTGATTGCCAATTTAATATCAAAATATATTCTCCAATCATTTAGTGTAAAAATGTCGTTATAAAAAAATGTTCGCCAAATCCTAATGTATTTTTATTAGTAGATAAATTGTGTAAACAACTATTTCAAAAAAAGTTTTTGTTTAAACATCAAAGTGCTTGTTTGGAACTGGCTTTAAAATAAATGAAAGTGCTTTTAAAGAAAATATTTTTGGATTCCAGAAAAAACACTAATTATGTGTTTCTTGCTTCTTGCATGAAGTAATAAAATATATTTTTCCAGAATTCACTTGTCTTTTTGTTAAAAATTGATTCTCAAAGTATTTTTATCAAAAATATTTTCAGTAATTTTAAATATGTTTCCAAACAAGCCTCAAAGTTTGGTCAAAATTACATCCGCGGCCACCAAACTACTAGACGGGTACAAATTTTATCTTAGAAATAAAGCAATATTAATAATTTAATAAGGCTCCAAGTCATTGACCTACCATTCAAATATTTCAATTTTCAATTCATGCATGCCCAAAAAAAAAAAAAAAAAAAAAAACCCACCTAATAAGCAAAATCCTACCAAAAATATAAACCTTCCAAGCTCAAAATAAAAACAAAATACTTGTTGCAAATGGTGTCCATTGTAAATGTGAGCAACTAAGTATGACCCTTTACAAAATTGTCGAAAAAAGTGTGTTGATAAGTTTGTTAGTTTGAAAAATACTTTGCCTATAAAACAATCATCCAAGCAAGAGAGGAGAACATACGATAAGAGAAGGAAAGAACAACAGAAGAAAATGCAGAGGGATAGAAAGAAAAATAATGAAAATTATTTTTGTACTACCATTATTTTAGATAATGAAAGAAAGTATTACTGTTGCCTGATGATGTAGTGTCACATCTTGGCCCGGGATCCATCACATCCTGGGCCAGCACGCCTGGATTTCGGTCGGGGAGTGTCATATAGGCACACTTGCCGAACCTTGTAAATATTGTGCCTTATTTACTCTATATTCTGTTGCACACACATCTTCAATTTCACAACAATACTATTTTTTTATGGAAAATAAATACTATATTAATAACAAAAAAAATGTTTGCATAATATATTAAAATTAAAAACGCTTTTGTGACAAATTAAGGCAAACATGAGTGCATCATGAGACTTTGCACCCACAAACAACAAATACCAATTAATCTCACATCAAATTTAATTAAAACAGATTACCAAACAAATCCCAGTTTGGATCTCTCTCTCTCACCTCCTTCTCAGCTCTATACATCTCTCTCTCCTCCTTCTCAGCTCTGTACATCTCTCTCTCTCTGGCAAACACGAAACATTCGAGGTCAGTTCAATGCACCTCTCGCTTTCAATTTCTAACGCTGAGATTTCATATCCAATCTGTATATTTATGTGTAATCTGATTGAATTAAGCTAAAGATTGTAGCTTTAGAGTTTGTGGGTCGTGATTATAATCTGATGAGCTACTTTGTGTATCCATTTATGCATTCCATTCGTGTTTAATTTGATCTCAATGCTTTAAAGGAACAGACCCAAAATTGGGTTTTTGGGTTTGGTAATTGCTCTCCAGCTGTAATGCTTTATGCCATTTATTTCATTGGGTTCAACCCTCTGTTTGGTTGCTAAGAAATTGTATGATCGACCCAAAATTTTCACGGGAAGACTTAGAAGAGCTCAACTAATACATTTATGTACTGAGCAGTGGGTTATTTTTGTTTCGTTGTTTTCCTTCAGAATTTTCGTTCCCGCCCACTTGGTCTTGTTGATTTCAGATTACCGATATTGGACGTTTTTTGCTTTTTGTTGATGGAAATTTTAATCTCTATAGGAACTGCTGGAGGAGTCTTCAGATTTGTCCAAGCGTAGTGGAGCACCTGCTGGAGAGTTTTATTGCTATTACTTGATGATATTTGTTGGAAATTTTAGAGGAGCTTCAGAGGAGTCTTGAATTTAGGCCAAGAAACTCGTGCTCAGAATGATTTCGTCTATGCGCTAGATAATCTAGTGTGCAACAATGCTTCGGACTGATTTTACAAAAACCAGACATATTCATAGGCAATTTGGTAGATTGGACTGTGTTGGAGGGTATATATGGCTCTAATTTAGATCTTGATAGGAGATGGTAGAGAGTGATTTGACCACAGAAAGGGTTGAGTACACGGGAGCCAACTATGCTCAGAGTGGAAGTCAATTGTCAGGTCTTCGCAGGGAGCCTTCATTTTCTCGCTGGTGCGATGAAGATGGGACAGTGCATTTTGATTGTCTAGTAGGAAATACGGATGCTACTGCAGAAGAAGAGTCTGACTTTGAATTGCCCAAGCTCCAACAGGGTGAGCTAGAAAACAGTATTTTAGATAAGGACAGATACCTCAGTGCAAAATCTCAGAAGAGAAATATGCACTTGAACGGTGGTGATGCCATGGATGATGCTTCTAACCAGATTGGTGGGAATGGAAATGAGGAGTATCTGCCCTTTGATATCGAGAATGGGTCTGCAAGGGAGGTACATGGTGTAGATAGCTCCAATTCTATGCATAACCATAAAGCATTACCGTCCAATTTAGAGAACCCTATTACTCTTCCAAATGTGTTGAAGATATTGTTCTTTGTACTTGTATGGTACACTTTCAGCCTGATGTTGACCTTGTAAGTTACCTCTCTTCTCTATTTTTCATCATATGTATATAGTTAATCAAATATTCAAGTTACTTACTGATGTAAAGTTTTTATATGGCTTTTATTGTTCTATGGTTTGTTTAGGTACAATAAAAGTCTGTTAGGAGATCATTTGGGGAAGTTTCCTGCGCCCTTTATGATGAATACAGTTCATTTCACAATGCAAGCTGTTTTGTCGAAGGCAATCACATGGTATTGGTCTAATAGATTCCAAACTGGTGTTGTTATGTCATGGAGAGATTACTTCGTGAAAGGTAAAGTCATATTCCTTGTGCTTTGTTATGCCAATTTGATAAAGTGAGTTAAGTTCTTTGCCGAATAACCTAGTGCTTTCAGCTTTTAGTTCAGATGCTGGTTGGTTTGGAGTTTCCATGTTTTATTGTTTGTCAGGATCAATATTTTCATTTTTTCTTATAAATAGGAACAGTTATTGTGGATGAGGTTCCCCCCAAAATATTTTTATCTCTTATCTTCTTTTGAAGATTCAAGTGGTATCTTGTTGTGCAAAATGTAAAATTTATACTATACCATCTATAACTCTAATAATTGTGGCCGGCAAGGAGATTTCAAAATGTAAAATTTATACCATACTGTCTGAAATAAGAAGGATGATCTGTGGATAATCTTCCTTCTCATTCTTAAATATATTTCCTTTGCTGCTGTGTTCATAACAATCTTTAAGTTATATGAATCAGACTCTACGTCTACGTTTTAGGTCCATGCCATTTTTTTTATTCTTTTAAGGAAACCTTTTTGTGTACCTGGGTTGTGTCCCTGTGGTGACTCTATAATCTTGCTAGATATCAAATGACAGGATCAGAATAACTTTGAGAAACTTGAAATTATATGTAGTAGATATAATCTTTAATATTAAGAGCATTCATGCTTATGTACAGATAGATACATATGTGTGTGTCCTATAACTTCAAATGGTTGAGTTTCTTTATTAAGTAGAGAAGTGTGAAATTTTTATTTTCTTAAATTTAAATTGCAGATGACATGCTTTGCTTTTTCTGCTTCCCCGCTGGAACTGATTTTGCATTTTTTTCATCGTTTAGAAATCGGGTTGTTGTTTAGATTTGGATTAAGTGTAGTACTTGTGACTTGCACTTGCATCAGTGATGAATTAATTTCATTTATCAGCTCTTTTATTATTGTCGCAAATTAGAATTTTTGTAAAAGGAAATACAGTTGCTAAAGTTTTACGTCAAAATCAGAATTCTTTGCGTGAAATTTAATTTTTCATACATTTTATAAAAAAAAATCCATATATTTTCTTTACTGTCTGATGTTAGTATTTACAAAATATCCTTCCATTCTTATAAGTTTGTGGTCATATACTTGCTACTTTTTTGTTATTTAATAAATTAACTTTTCTATCAACTAATGCTACAGATGGACTTTGCCTTTCACAGTTGTACCCACGGCTATTGGAACAGCAATGGATGTTAATCTAAGCAACGCATCCCTTGTTTTTATATCTGTCACGTTTGCCACAATGGTTGGTTACCTTCTTTGCACATTCACATACTATCATTTTTCAAATTTTATTAGTCAACCACTGACTTCCCTTTTACTTTTGCAGTGTAAATCCGCTGCTCCTATATTTCTCCTCCTATTCGCTTTTGCTTTCAGGTAAATTTCTTGCCTGTAGAGTTCTGTACCCAGTTTCCCTAATCATGTGCATAAATATCCATACCTGAATGCTATCCAGTCTGTGCTATTTATGTAATCCAGTGCTCTTCTTGTATCCCTATTGGTGTCTGAAGCGCTTCTTCTCCCTCATTTTTTATACTATAGTAATAAATGTATTCTGGGTCAATGTTAGTGTTGAAGTGAACTATGAATTATATCATGCATGTCCGTGTGTCACACCCCAAGCCTCGAGTCATGACTAAAAAGAAAACTAAATAAATAATCTCTCTTTTCTTGTTTTCCAGCCTTGCATGGCTTTCCTCCCATAAATGAATTAAACATCTCTTTATCTTCTGTAAGTGGACCAATCTAAGATATAGAATAATGAAAGTTATTCATTTAAGTGATTCTTGCATGCTTAAAGTCAATCTTTAGGTTACGGCCCTAATTTTATAGTTATGAGCATTTACTTTGAATTCATCCCCCAAGAATCTAGTCTCCCATTTTGTATTTGTAAGCTTTATTTACTTTGACTCCATCCCTAAGAATCTATGTGGCCTTTTAAATATTACCTTAATTAAGTAGTAAATTTGAGAATGGGTGTTACACATTGTCGTCTAGTAACCCTCTAAGTTAGTGCTTATTGTTTGGTTTTCACCACCTTCATTTTCTCACTGATTGTGACTCTTGTCCTGATGTGCACTGCAAATTCTCTGCTTCAAAGATTGGAGTCACCAAGCGTTAGACTTTCGGGGATCATATTAATTATCTCCCTCGGAATACTATTAACAGGTAACAAGCTTGAGCATATAGTTTATTTCAATATTCACTTATTTTCTTTTCGTTTTATAAATTTTTATCTTTCAATTCTCACGATGAAAGATTCTTCCCTTCCTGCCCCTTTCTTGCTTCTCCTTTCATTTATCTCTGTTTCATTCTCTCTCATCAATCTTTTCAATAAAATTTTGTTTGCTTGAAAGAAAGTTGAACAGGACATTTTATACTTCTAATTTTCATGAACTTATCATTAGGCTATCCTGCCATCTCTTTGTTAAATTTAAATCTGTCCTAAAGTCTTGTTATTGTTGGATTTGGCCATTATTTACGGGACTAACCAAGGCCTTCATCAGGTTCCATATCTTAAGATCTCTTTGTGATCACATACCAGGAACTTACAGGAGCTTTTTGAAAATTATGGTTTGTTTTGGTGAAGATTGATCACTAAGTATTTGAACATATAAAGGTCCTTTGATATTTAAAATATCTCAACTGAAACCACAATTTAATCCCTTAGCATTGTTGTTGTTTTTTATGCGACTAGCCCTTGCTTTAATTAGGTTCTTAAGAAAAAATTTCGGGGCAAACTTAAGCATTTATGATACTGCCAATGTTAATATTTTCTTATCTTTCCATATTGAATATTGTGCAGTTGCAAAAGAGACAGAATTTAACTTTTGGGGATTCATTTTTGTCATGCTTGCTGCTGTAATGTCCGGCTTCCGTTGGTGCATGACTCAAATTCTTTTGCAGGTGTGTTTTCTATATGCTTCTGGTTTTCTACCATTTTTGATTTTTTCAGTTTTAATATTACTTGCTCTTACATATTTTTATTGGTTGCTTTGTTATGCACAACGATTGTGAACGTTTTCCCAAAATCGAAATAAAGAAAGAAGATTATGGTAAGCGCTATTTGATGTTATTGCAATCTCAACATTTTTGCAATTTTTCATTTACTATAATTTGCACTGTTGTCTGCAAAAGCTATCGTGCTCCTTTTATAGGGTCATCAGTTGCCACTATGGTGACATCTTTACGAGTAATGTAAATAACATGTCAATGTGGTCAGTCCCTGCTAGAGTTGCAACTTATTAAGTAATTTGTCGTAGTTGGCAAGTGCAAGACTTTTCCATCTTCTAATAATTTAAACAAATAATTCGATTTGTAAATTCTAATCATTCTTTGAAATAAGAATGCCAATGCATACAAAAGCAATAACATTCTATGCAGTGAGATTTTATTATATTTTCATATTATATACTACGAGATTGTGTTGGTGTATTAAAATTTTTCCCCAACCATTGTGCATTTGGCTTTGCATGCTTGCTGCCTATAATTATAAGTCCTCAAGTAGTTCGATGGTGTCATGTTTATGTCCTAAATATATGTAGTTTATGGTGCCATTTTTATTTTTTAATCTAACAATTTCACATTCTATCCAATATCTGTAGTTTATAGTGATTTTGAGATATTACTAATATCATAATAAAAGAAGACGAACTTGTTGAGTTTGTTTTCCGTGTGACTTTAATTTAGTGTTCGAAAATGTTTTCACTACATTATAGCACAAAATTTATACTTGGCTTAAAGAAACTCCACCTTATTTTCCAACGATGTCACCCGACTGAACTGGACCAAGTTGAGAGATTGGGATAGGTGGCTGGTTTAGAGTTTGGCACTGGAATAGGGGTCAGAAAATAAGGTAGATACAAAGATACAGTGTAGTACCTTGATACTGGAAACTGATTTAGGAGGTTATGCAAAATCTGGTTTCACTGGCTGTCCTATAAGCAACCGAGACATTTAAAATCAGTGTCAAAAATTCAGGACCTTCTGAAACTTTCTATTTTAGAAGAATCGCATTTTATTAGAAATTTGTAATAAGATACGGTTACACAAAATCAGGTTTCACTGTTCTATTTTATTAAAAATTCTTAATAAATTGATAGAAGTGAAGGAGGAGTACGCTAATCAATCTTACAACTACTTTTTTTGGAGATTTAATTCATTGTCTAATTTGAAAACTTATCCCATAAGTGGTGGATTCATGCCACTTCATGGAACCATCAGAGGCCTTGATACACGTTTGACTAGATTAGTAATATAAATACTTTGGGTCCTTTGGTTTCCTAACACTAAAAGGTTAGAAGGTAACTTTTCCATGACTTGGGGTTGTCTGAAACGTGTTACTGCATCCATTCCAGTTGGATGCAATTTGCACCAGGCTAATTCCTTGCGTCAATTTCATGTAGATAAGAGCATTTCTTTAAGAATCGGGACAGTATCATACTATCTTATTTTTTTCAATATATTTAAATTATGCAAGTTTGCAGAACATACACTAACAGTAGTTCGATTCCATTGTTCTAGGTTTGAGAAATCCGCTTACTTTGATGAGCTTTGTGACCCCAGTGATGGCAGTATTAACTGCCATTCTCTCTCTTGTCTTTGATCCGTGGGATGAACTTAGAGAAAACAATTACTTCGATAATCCAGGGCATGTTGGTCGAAGTTTGTTGCTGATGCTTTTTGGTGGAACCCTTGCCTTTTTTATGGTAGGAGAATATTCAAACTTTTCTTATCACACATGTTTTGTTTTTCTTATGTTTTGTGTACTTAAGACTTTTGTTGTTGACTTTAAATTAGGGTATTAGGTGAGGGCTGAGGAGTTACCAGGATTTGTGTTGACTAGTTCCTGGTTTAAGTTCTGCTTCGATTTTAAACACTTAAGTATGCGTGTATTAAGGTCCTTCAGTAGAGATTCTTTTTTTTTTTTTTTTTTTTTTTTCTGTTAGCGGTTAGATTGGATATTGATGGCTGAGACACATAGGGGTTGAGATACAGTCAATTCATCTCAGCTGTTTATATATAACCGAACGGTTGTAGCAAAGGTGCTTTTACGATCTTTTAAGAGAATAGTTATATACATGCATATATACACTGTAAAATCATCAATCAGGGTTTAGTCTGAGAAAGCTGTACTTTTGCTGCAGGTATTAACAGAATTCGTTCTTGTCTCAGTAACCAGTGCCGTCACAGTAACAATAGCAGGTGTTGTTAAGGAGGCTCTCACTATATTGGTATGTTCTGTTCTCTACAGGCTTAAGTGTAATTTTTAGGTTGTTTTACCTTCGGGGCCTACTTGTCCTAAGCTGTACAATCTCATTGTTATTTACTCTTGTAATTCTGTTGTAGTCCTACTGTCTGTATGCCTGAACTGTGTATATCAGAGTAAGAACTATATTCATGTATCACTATTGTTCTTTCCACCTCAAATAACAGTTAATTATCTGGCCTATCTTTTTGTTTTCGGAGATGAATTTAGTTGTCTTGAGTGGTGTGGAACTTGAAAGCCAAGGCTTGGAATATGTTTGGACTCTATGGTTGACGTGTGGTCATTGATTTCTTCTTTCCTACCTTGTGATTTGAAGAACAATAAACTATCAAGTGGCAACAAAGGAAAGACTTCCTCTTGCCACTGATTGCATGATGAGATGCGCAATTAATCTACTTAGTTTAATACGATATTGTCATGTTTTATAGCTTTATCTCTTACACCAAAAATTAATTGAGGATGAACTAGTTGCAGACCTGCGGTGCTGCCTGAATTAATTCCCATTTAGATTACTTTTTCTATGCACAATCTTTACAATTCAGGATTTGCTGGACATATGCCATGGGAAATTTTGCGAACAATCCCACATGGTCTGATTTGAGTGTCTAAGGATTTTAGTGGATAGAAGTTGAAAAATTGTGTTATCATATTTCTTTCTTGTCTTCTTTTGATGCTGATCAGGCTTCCGTACTTGTCCATATATGAGGCTGCCAAAATTTTGTGTTGATTTCTAATCCTATCATATTTCTTACTCAGGTTGCAGTCATTTACTTCCACGATGAATTTACCAGGTTGAAAGGAGCTGGACTCTTTATAATTATGCTTGGTGTTAGTTTATTCAACTGGTACAAGTAAGTCATCCTCTTTCGGTTGGGGAGAATCATTTGCTCTTTGCTTATGTTGTAGCATCTTCAACAGTGAAGCATTCATTTGAACATTGTGATCATCCATTACATTGCAATTTGTTTAATACAAGTGAGAGAATAAAAAAATAGGCAGGAGGGGCTGAAAATTAAGTTGGGTGAGTTCTGGTTTTGTCGATATATATATATGGGGAGAAAAGGAGAAGATAGGAAGTGAGTAGTGAAGTAGTTTCTGCTTGGATGGAAGTGGGATGAAGTAAAACACAGAAATAGTAAATATGCAAAGTATCACTCATGATTATTTATGCATCTTATCTTATAGATACGATAAGCTTAAGGCGCGTCATACAAGGGAAGATGACATGGAGGAACCAATCACGACAAATAATGCTGCAAAATATGTTATTCTTGAGGAAATGGATGAGCAAGATGATGGCAAATGAAAGCTGTACCGAGTCCATGCATCTAATTTTGAAGTAAGCCAATTGTAAGTTCATGAACTACTTAAATCATTTGAAACTTACAGTAAATTTATGTTGCTTGCTTGGGATGCCAAATCCATGCATCCAAATATACTCTGTTTTGCAATTCTTTGGGATATATGCATACCAAAGAAACTTGTCATGCTCAAATGTGGCTGTTTGTCGTTACTCCTATTACGTTTATGAATCTACTGCTTAGATGGGGCCTTTTTTTACTTCTGTACTTATCTCTGCTTGGTTCTCTGTGAACTGATACGCATTGTCGAATTCTCATGCATCTTGGTGAAGCTTTTGGCAAGAAGCATGTTTGATTGTCACACTTTTCAGCATTTCTCTTATCTTCTTCAAGCTTTGCCCAAGAATCAACGCGTGGCGAGATTCTGCAGCTGCTGCCCAAAAATCAGAACAGTATTAGGAATTAGTATATATGGAGTGTTGTTGGTTAGGAATTTGGATATGAGCGTCAGCGATGTCAAATTCAATAATGCTTCTCTTTTTTGGTCCGGATTATTTTTTGTTAAAATAGAGGGTGTTGTTTGCAACCGCAAGCTCCCAGATTCTTGTAATTTTATCATTCACGAAGGACTGTCATTGTCCTTTCTGTATGTTACAAATTGATTTTTTTTTTTCTTTAGTGAATTTCATATCTTGATTCAAGAGAGAGAAATCTAGAGAGAGAGAGAGAGAGATAGAGAGAGAGAGAGTGTGTATTGGAAAACCTTTGCTTGATGATGCCCCATTCATTTACCAATCTCAAGAAGCAAATTAAAGAAAGCCGAATCGGTTCAGTTTTAGATTAGATTCTTTGAAAAGAGAACCAAATTATGTTACTTTGGTCTTACGGAGCCCCTTAATTGGGTGACAAAGTGAGAATTTTAGTTTTAAATAATTTACTATAGTTGAACCTTTATGTTCTTCTATTTTTTTAGGGGGGAGGGGGATTGGTAGGAATCAAACCCGCACCAGAGTGAATAGGCATGATTGCTTTCCGTCATTATGGTAAAGCATCATCTGCATTTTTATGGTCGTCTTTGCTATGGAGCCATAAGGCTCATTTGGAAAGTATTTTTAGATGATTGAAAGCGCTTTTTAGAGCAAATGCATTCCAATATCATCAACTACCACCTTGCAACAAGAAATCCGAAATCTTATGTCCCAACCAGTATGACTCACTCTGGTAATAACATCATCAACATTAACATACCTAAACAAACCTCAGCATTTCATAGAACATAAAGACATGGCATCTAAGAGTGCTGCAATTTCCCAAGCATTTCTGCACTTGTTTTCAGCATAGAGTGACGGCACGAACTAAATGCGATAACTTCGTTAGCCACTTGTTCAACTTCAAATTACGAGTCACAGGAGGACTAGACTTCGTCGGCCTCTTGTACAACTTCAGACACTGTTTTCGATACACAGCAGCAGAACCAGAACTACGCGGTCTTCTTCTTAGTCTCTTGTACGACTTTCACCTTATCCATTAGTCGAAACTAGGCTCTCCACATAAAAATGGACTTCTAAGGAAAAACGAAGGCCACGAGTTGGAACGTTTTTGGTTTCCTGAGTAGTTGGATCATACAAAACCAGCTCGCCTCTGCTACTTTCGATGTATATTTCGCCATATAAACTGCAGCCGAGCGGCCTCTCAACTCCGAGCAGGGGTCCAATTGTGCATTCCATTTTCCATAACACCTCAGCATTCTGCTCAACCATTTGCCACACATAAAACTCCTTTTGCCTTCCACTGAAAGTATAAGCCATCAAATAAAGAGACTCCTTCGAAGCCGCGAGTTTTTTGCACATTGGACTTCCAAAAACGTTTAAATCCGGCAACTGTAACTGCCCAAACGCCTCATTACGCATGTCAAACGATAAGATCAGTTCGGACTCAACCCTGCCGTATGCAATCCAATAAAGGAAACCATTCACAGCAGTGCACGAAGGTTCATAAATGTCGAAGTAAAACGTATCAATCTCCAGCCAATAGTTCGTTTTCAGTGAATACACCTCAGCGCGGATGCAAGGTGTTTTCGAGCGAGACAAAGAGACAATCCTCACCAACTTATAGTCATCAATAAGCGGGTGGTACCCGAATCCAAGAGCAACACCGGAGACCCGCGCATTATGTATATTGGCACTACCGATAAGACTGTCTGGGAGGACCCTAAATTCCGCCATGGCAGGATTCCACAAAATTATGGGCGACCCAAGATTAGCAAAAGTATCATGAGCTAAACAAAGTAAGCCATTGCAAGATCCCACGAATTTCAAGTGATTGGAATCCATCACAGATGGTATCTCCAAATCTGATAACACATAACCATCTAAAAGCAGCAGAGAAATGACATGCTTACGAGTAATTTGTGAACGATATTTTACAAGGCATCCGGTTTTCGAAATGTTGAGACGGAGGTGCTGAGAAATGAAATGGGAGTCCCTGATCAGAGCATCCCATGCTTTCCGCACCGAGGCGAATCGAACCAGAGATTTGACGGGCAATCTGGAGAGAATGTGGAGCATCAGGTTCGCAGGAAAGGCCATATTTTGACAGCTTGCTTCTATCGCTTCTTTTGTAAAGGGCTTTTGGGTATAAAGAAAAGCCGCACAGCCCGGAACAGACAGCCATCCGTTTCTTTTCTGGCATTTATGACGTCAACCTGTCACGGAGTTCAGTGATATTGTTATTCACTTTTAAATGAGAAGTCTTATATTTGATTCTCGCTTAAGACGAATTTAAATCATATTATTATTAGTTTATTTTGAAGCTTATGCTACTCGCCTACTTTTTTTAGTATAGATAATACCATCCGTTAAAAATAGAAAAAAACTGAAGCCAACCTGTTCTTTAGGACTTGAAGTTGCTGGACTATGTGCCGTGTGATGTGACGTTTCGTGCTAATAATAAAATGATATATGTTAGATTTTTCTAAATATCTTTGTGTTATTGGCACGATACGTTATCGTGACGTAAATCCATGCCACACTAATTGTTCTCTAATGAGAGATTGTTGAGTAAGAAAGCTTGTGCCACGTCACAGGTCCACAAAAGACACAAATTGACGAATTTATTTATTCAGGTGTTATATGGGCACATTTCAGTGAAACCAAATACAAGAGATTCGTTTTATGTGTCTCAAAGAACGGATGATGTAGTTCGGACTTCCCTACCCAACTGGGTGACGGTTGGATTTTATAGGTACTTGTTATTTACTATTTTAGGAAACTACAAAAACCCTTATAAAATACGGTTCATGTGAATGTAAATTTCATACAAGATTGAATTAACGAATTCACACCTACAAAACAAATAACACAGTTAGTCTTATTGACGAACACCGTAAAAAATGGATTTCTTTTAGTGATGTGTGATATATGCCTGAAAATCTAAGAGATAGAGCCATGTTTTCCGTATTTTTTTCAAACTTTTCTAGAAGGGAATTAACAACCCCAAAACATGAGTGCAACACGAATGACTTGTTTTGCAAGTGAAGAATGATTTATTAGGTTTTTATTAGGAGAAATTAGGATCCTATTCATTTTTTCCTACTCCATTGATTAAAACTTTATTCCTTTTCAACTTTTGATCAAGGTCCTTAGGTTTTAATGAATGTCATTACTTCAATAACAAAATATTTATATGTCAAGATAATTTTTTTGAATACATCGATAAAACATGAGTGCAACACGAATGACGTGTTTTGCAAGTGAAGAATGATTTATTAGGTTTTTATTAGGAGAAATTAGGATCCTATTCATTTTTTCCTACTCCATTGATTAAAACTTTATTCCTTTTCAACTTTTGATCAAGGTCCTTAGGTTTTAATGAATGTCATTACTTCAATAACAGAATATTTATATGTCAAGATAATTTTTTTGAATACATCGATATTTTTACAGTAAGGGAAAGGGGAGTTTCGCTAGGTCACACAAATGGGCAGCCTAATTTGGTATTGAATTCACTATCCACAAGATTCGAACCTAATATCTCTCACTTCTAAGTGAAGAGAAATACCAACAGACAGTAGTACTGAGTGACTATATGTCAAGATAATTAAATTTTATTACTAAATATATTCATGTAGTAATATATTCATTTAGTGTTAGAAACGTTACATTTGGTATATTTATATTTATGACTAAACTTTGTATCATATATTTTTATTTTTAGTTTGTGCCCATTTTTAATTTGTAACCTTTTTTTTTTTTTTTTTTAATTTGTACCATTTTTCTTTACAGTTTTAAATTGTACCCATATATTAATTTTTTTGTTCCCATATTTTTTTTTAAAATTTTATTTGAACTCATAATTTTTTTCCCATTTTATTTGTGCCCATAATGTCACATTCCGACCTGGGTCCCCACCATATCCCGGGCTCGACTCCACCATAGCACGATATTGTCCGCTTTGGGCCCCGACCACGCCCTCACGGTTTTGTTTCTAGGAACTCACACGAGAACTTCCCAGTGGGTCATCCATCCTGGGATTGCTCTTTGGCGAACTCGCTTAACTTCAGAGTTCTTACGAAACCCGAAGCCAGTGAGCTCCCAAAAGGTCTTGTGCTAGGTAGAGATGAGAATATACATATAAGGCTTACAGGATTCTCACCCCTGAACGACATAGGATCTTACACATAATTTATTTATAATGTACCCATATATCTTTAAAAATGTACCACTTGTTATGCGTAAAATTTACCAATTTTTAATGTAAATCTATTTATTTTTTTAATCTAAAATGTATCCATTGTTGTTTGTATAAAATGTACGCATTGTTTTCTATATAAAATGTACCCATTTTTTAAATATAAAACTTCCCCATTTTTTTGTAGAAAATGAACCCACATTTTTAAAATTTATAATTACGTGCACCATTACTCATATAATTATAGGGGTACATCTTTTTTTTAACATTTTTATGGGTTACATGTTATAACATTTTACTTTTGGAACAATGTTGAAATTGTACCCCATAGATAATTATATATGGCAAATGTACGGGTACATTCTTTTGACATGTGACAACTATTTTATCATTCATAACAATGTTGGATACATTCTTTTGGCACTTTTTTTAACACCGTTTCCAATTGATTGATACATATATATGCGAACATGTACTTAACATCTATTAATATACATTTTTAAAAGGAATTATATTGTTATATTGATTTTTTATTCAATCAAAATTTTGAAAAAATTTCCATATTTTTTGTTGGCCCTTTTTTAATTTTTTTTAATTTTTTTTATAGCTCATTAGATGTGAGATTTTAAATACCATAAAATTTCAATTTTTATTGTTGACATGGAAATATATTAATATTAATATGCTGAGGTGTACAAAGTCAAAGGACTTTGATCAAAAATTGAAAACCACTAAGGTTTTAATCAATGAGTATTAATGGTTAAAGACTGCATCCAAACTCTCATTTTTTATTATTCTCTACTATATAAGGCAAGCCTAAGTTGTCCACAAAAAATAATAATAAATAATTAATTAATAAAAAGACTCTTTATACACAATACTGGCGGAGAGAAGCAGAGCTTGGGATAGCATTCCCATAGATTCCATGTTTTATCATTCTTCTACTTTTATGACTGTGGAACCTAATTTCTTTTGCTAGGGCATTGATGAAGCCCCCAACATGAATATCTTTTAATTTTAATTGCTAACCTATATAGTTTTGGTTTTTTGTTAAATTCTTAATCACCATTTTATAAATCTACTTTCATAATCTTCGGAGCTTAGTAAGTAGAGTATTTGATAAAATTGCTTAATGCTTTACTTAGGAGTAGAAGTTTTCCCAAGTGCCATACGTGATTAAGGATTGTAAACTTAGGACACGTAAACGCATGAAAGAAGTGGATATTCTTATTTGCATGTTTCCTGTTCTCTATGCTAATAGTGGAATTTTATAGGTTTTGCTTGAACCAGACAAAAAAAATGAAGTAGGAGTTGGTAAGGTTACACGAGTCCCCATGGGACCAATAAGTTTGAATTCACTTTCGTAGAACCATGACACATGACCATGACCAATAAGACTTGTGTAATGATTCAATAAACGGTAATTACGATAACGGTTAGGAGTATTAGATGGTGGACTCAGTATCCTACCGCTCACATCATTGTCATAATACTTCTCAAAATCTCATTCGTTTTCTACATAATCATTCTTTTTAAGTTTTCTTAAATCAGATATTTCAAATGCTCCTTAGTACTACGATCTAATGATATTTATCTTCACTTATAAGTGAAAGATCTTAAGTTCGATTATTCTCAAAGACAAACTACATTATTGCTAGCCCATTATGAGGCTAAGCCCACCTCTTTCTCTTTAATATAGATAACATCGTTTGTTATAAAAAAAAAAAAATCAGATCTTTCAAATCAAACCAACTTTTGTACTTTAACTAAATTATGCGTAATTAATTTTTTAAATTAGTTTTAAAACAATTCTAGTGGATACGATCTCGTGCTTGCATAGCTATACTACTATTGATTTGTGCACTTGTGAGTAATTTAATTTGGGTATTTTGAATCTTCCATTTTAGGCGTTCAAAATTCCAAATCATCCTCTATCCCAACCACCACACCCTACTATTGAAATAACTACCATACCCCCACCATTGCCACTACCATCACTATCATTGTGGCCATCACTATTATCGCCGCCACCACTCCACTACCGTTAGCTCTCTTATATGGTTTTTTCATACCAAATCACTTTATAAAAAAAATACAACTTATTAAACACTCAATTACTTTATTTTATAGTTGATTATTCTTTAAGCACAATCGAAATATTTTTACTTAAAAGAAAACAAGCAACATATTTCCAAAGTCCAAACTGCCCCTTATTCATGTGTTTACTAGCAATAAAAAATCGTACTAAGGGTTTGTTCATCTCATAATCATTTTTTCTCATCCTTATATCATGTAATTATGTAAACATGCCCTCATTGACCTAAAAAAAAAATGTAAACATGCCCTCAAACTATAATTACTTTCCACCTAGCTGTAATGGCCACTTCTCTCTCTCTGCATTTGTAGCATTATACATTTATATGAATTACTTTTAGAACACATTAGATAACAAGATTAAGGAAAAAATTGAGGACGATACGCAATATACCTAATGATGCACGTCTCCCAGATTATATTAACTCCAAAAGCTAGCTTTATACAGACACCAGACGTGAAAAAGAAAGGAAAACCAAAATTTCAAATTATTGGCATTCACTAGTTTAAATTGAATCCTATAGATGGAACTTTGAGTGCAGTATACAACCTTCCAAATTTTCAAAACGGGCAACAGAAATATTCTTTGGGGGTCTCTTTTTGTCTGGAAAGGTTTTGCAAAGTAAATTTACAAATTACGAAACCTTTCAAAGATTATTAAGTTCAGAAACCCATACAAGAATCTATGGTAGGCTTTAATATCTTACTACTAAAAACTAGAGAATTGTTACCCAACGTAAGGAGAACAACTTTTATACGAAACAGGGACACAGTTATGGTGGTGTTCCATACTAATATGGTAAAGAAAGGGTAATGCTACTAATATGGTAAAGAAAGGGTAATGCTAATTAAGGAGACCAAATTTCTAAATCAAACTTTGTAAACCAAATGATGTGAATGTTGATGATTGGATTATTACTTAAGTGTTGATTAACGTGCTTATTTCATATTGGTGACACATCATTTGCTTTGCAAATTTGGTTTAAAAAAATTCTATAAATTTAGTCTCCCTAACATTACTCTTACAAATTTAGTCTTCCAAGCATTATCCATAAAAAAAGGAATGTGTAAGTTTTTGTCCACGTATTCTTATTCTATTGGCACGGGACTTGGCAATGTACGCGTGTCATATTGGAGAATAATTTAGAAACAAAATAACAGAAATACTTATACTTTATTACGAAAAACATACTTGCAATACAGAATGAAATTACACAATAAATACAGAAATTATAATGATACTAACTTGAATGAATCAAATGTAAAGGCTAGCACATAAGCTATGTCTTTCGAACAGTATTTCCGTCCCACTCTTGTGCTTGTGGTTCTACAGCTCGACCAGGATACAACTACCTAATTCTACAACCCGCACTGGATTATAGAATTCTAGCGAATTTCTTTTGTGTGTTTACTCCCTGGAAAGTTTGTACGGAAGTGAAGGAGGAAGAAAAGATGATCTACGATGGAACTGAGACTCCAGTTATATAGGCCCTTTCATACCTCTTCAAATACCTTTTGGATGCATTAAAGAGTTGTGTCTATTAATCAAAATATTTTTAATTAATTTTAATTAAAAACTTAATTCGAATTTAAAATTAATGATCTGATTATTTTTAATTCTTAGGCCCCATGATACCCCAAGGCCCTTGTCTTGATTAATTAATATTAAATTACATTAATATTATGGTATAATCATCAAGTCTAATCCACACAATTAGTGACCCAAACCTCAATCCTCATTCCAAATGGTCCAACACCTAATCACTAATAAAGGTGACTAACTTAATATAAGGACCTTAAGTTCCCTTGAGTTCCCCGATGTGGGACTAAAGGAGCTCAAAAACTCCAACATGTCATGTACGTTATTCTCCTACGTAATGAGAGATTTTTTTCCAAGTATTAAGAATACGAACGGATACACCATGTATCATAATATAATTGGAGAGAAAATATGTTTTTATGTGTCCCTAGTTTTATATTATGAAATGCAGTGTAGTATGAGTACTTCAAAAAAATCTGTCCTACCTAACAAGTAGAAATATTGCTGACCATCAGTAGTAGAATACACGCGTAATCGTTGAGAAGGAGTTCAATTTGCATGGTTCTCTCAACCGTACAAGTGGGATGGATATTGGCATATATCTGTCAGGTATTCGTACTTATAAGACAAACGATAACAACAGAGCAATAACTAGATAGCTGGTTCTCACAACTCCAATTATACTCTCTCTCTCTGTCTGTCTGTCTGTCTCTCTCTCTCTCTCTCTCTCTCTGTGGCAAATAACATTCAAAATTGAGGTCAGTTCAATGCTCGTCAAAAATCTCTCGCATTGCTATTATTAATTTGTTGCTGTTTGAGATTTTTAATACTCTCTCTCTCACAATTCCAATTGCATGCATTGACAGGTAGATCTAGAAAGAGATACAGAGAGATGGCGCGGAAACAGATGTGTTGTAGTACCAGTGTAGTACAAGGGTTGAAGCCAGTGCTGATGATGTTGATGGTTCAGACGGCATATACAGGGATGAATATATTTTACAAACTGGTAGCGGAGGTTGGCATGAGTTTAACTGTCCTCGTTGCCTACCGTAACATGTTTTCGGCAGCCCTTATGCTTCCTCTTGCTCTTATATGTGAAAGGTTCATCAATCACGATCTCTCTCTCTTTCTATTTTCCCCCTTTCATTTATCTAATGATCGTGGTTCTTAACTAATTTATAAACTAACAGGAAGAGCAGGCCCAAACTTACCTTAGATATACTGCTTCAAGGTTTTCTTTCCGGATTATTGGGGTAAGAGTGCTAAAACATATTCAAAATTATTGATATTCCTTTGTGTTTCTTTATTTATTACTTTCCCCATTTCTTAGGATTTGGATTGTTTTGGATTTATATCCTAACCTTACCTGTGTTTCTTTATCACATATATTGTTTTTTCACGTAATCAAAATGGATTTAGAGGAAATTAAGATGTTTGTTTTTTGACTGAAACCTTATTTATTTTTAGTCTTTCAATTTTCAAACTAATAAGGTTTCAATTTAAGATATAGGTAAACCAAGATCGTAACCAAAGTTTGTGACATCCCACATTACCCAGGGGAGTGGATCCTCTAAGCCTTATATGTATATTCCCATCTCTACCTAGCATTTGACCTTTTGGGAGCTCACTAGCTTCAGGTTCCATCAGAACTCCAAAGTTAAGTGAGTAGCGCGTGAGAGAACCTCCCATGATGGGTGACCCACTGGGAAATTCTCGTGTGAGTTCCCAGAAACAAAACCCTGAGGGCGTGGTCGGGGCCCAAAGCGGACAATATCGTGCTACGGTGGAGTCGAGCCCGAGATGTGGTGGGGTCTCGAGCCAAGATGTGACAATTTGGTATCAGAGCCTAACCCTGGCCGCGAGTGTGCTGACGAGGATGTCTGGCCCCTAAGGGGGGTGGATTGTGACATCCCACATCGCCCAGGGGAGTGGATCTTGTAAGTCTTATAATATATATATATATTCCCATCTCTACCTAGCATGAGGCCTTTTAGGAACTCATTAGCTTCGGGTTCCATCGGAACTCCAAAGTTAAGCAAGTATCGCGTGAGAGAACCTCCCATGATGGGTGACCCATTGGGAAGTTCTCGTGTGAGTTCCCAGAAACAAAATCGTGAGGCGTGGTCAGGGCCCAAAGTGGACAATATCGTGTTACGGTGAAGTCTAGCCCGGGATGTGGTGGGGTCTCGAGCCGAGATGTGACAAAGTTTCCTTTAAATTTATTTTGTTCTTGTATAATTTCCTCCCGAATAGACACGAACTAAAACATTAGTGTGATGAGTTTAATTAATTTGATGTATTTGAGTTTTTTTTTTTTTGTTTTTTTTTACATTTATTTCAAACAAATGTATAAATACGTTTGTGTTGAATTATTGCAGGGCAACAATGGCACAAAATTTTTACATAGAGAGCTTAGCCTTAACATCAACAACATATGTTGCAGCCTGCAATAATCTTGTTCCAGTCATCACCCTCATCATAGCAGTATGTTTTAGGTACTTGCACACAGAAGTAATTAACGTTTTCAGGTTTAATGAAATGTAGTTTTATTAATAAATTTCTGAGATTAAACTCATTTAATTTAACTGATTAGTTTGGAAAATATGCTGGTAATATTATAATTAAATATCAGGCTGGAGAGCTTAGCACTTGGAACACATGCAGGAAGGGCGAAGGTTGCGGGGACACTAGTATGTATAGGAGGGACCATGCTCTTTACGTTCTACAAAGGGAAGCCTATTGCCATGTGGTCAACACACTTTAACCTTTTACGTAACCATTTGCATGAAAACAGCCACGTGGCATCACTGCATAAAAACACTCACACTCAGTTGTTGGGCTCCTTTCTGGCACTCTGCAGTAGTACCTCATTTGCGTGTTGGTTGATATTTCAGGTTCCATTTCACACAACACAGTCCTCATCATATCTGTAAATGTGTGTATATATGTATGTGTGCGTGTGTGGGATATTGAGTAACCTTGCATACTGCATGCATGTGTTTCGCTTAATATTGTGTTTTAGTAATTTCGTGTCTATATTCAGACGAAAATGACGAAGAGATACCCTTGCCATTACTCAAGCACTGCTCTAATGTCTCTCATGGCATCAATTCAGTCTGTAGTATTTGCGCTTTGCAAGGAGAGGGATTGGAATCAATGGAAGTTGGGTTGGGATATCAGACTTCTTGCTGCTCTGTATACGGTATACGCGAGATATATATACACAGTTCGCCTTGATCGAGGAATAACTAATTTGTCAAGGCAAATAAATTGTGTTCTTCTATGCTTGGTTTGTGTGATGTAGGGCGTGGTGACGACTGGACTCGTAGTGACTCTAACTGCATGGTGCGTACGAACGCGAGGGCCGTTGTTTGTGTCAATTTTCAACCCACTTTGCCTTTTGCTGATAACCTTTGCTGCGCCCTTTTTGCTGAATGAAAAGTTATACGTAGGAAGGTACCTACTACCTAGTGAGGTTTCACTAAAAACGCTTAATATTTATTACGCTGGTTAACTGTATAGGAGAAAATTAATAACGGAAGTTCTTTTAACGTTTCTATGTATTCAAACTGCAGCATGTTAGGAGGGCTTCTAGTTGTATGTGGATTATACACAGTGCTTTGGGGTAAAAGCAAGGAGATGAAGATGATGACTCAACTGCCACAACCACCACTTCAAGATCAGTACTCCCATTCCATTGACATGGCAACATCTGCAGTTCACACTACTACTTGCGATAGCAATGCACGACCAATCTCAAATGCTCCAATGAACAATGGACTCAAAGAAAACATTGAGCATTAACTAGCTAGTTCAAAAGAATAATGATAAGTAATGGGATTTAAGACTTAATAAGAGGATCGGAAGAAGACTCCTTTCCAAATGTGTACTACGTACCTATATCCATTAATAAACAATATTGAGAAGAAAATAATAATAATTAGAAGTAAAAACCAGAGTGTCTATTCTTCTCACTGATCTCTTCTTCATTTGACTATTCACTTGATACTTAATTAGAATAGCGTGTGATCCATATTACCCTTCACTTGACGAGGCAGTGAGATCTATAATTAGATCTCTGTGAAGTACGATTGAAACCTCTTTTCAATCCACCCAATATAATTCACATAAGATCTCACAAACTAGGAGTGACACCTAACTTTGTATCATAGCACCCAAGCCAAGATAGAATGGTCGAATAATCTACTCAGTTGAAATTACAATGTATTCTGTTCTACAATGGATTGAGCTATTGCATGTCAAGTGCTCATGTGATACAATAATGATTCTTTATTTGTGATTTAGAACTTTGTTTATAACCACTAAATGCTATGACCCGAGACTAGTAATCTAGAAGTACAGATTCCTTGCATTATGATGGTCCAATATCCTATATTGTACATTCTTGACTCTGTAAGTAACCCAAAGACTCAAACTAAAAGCGGAACAAGCCTCTTGGAAGATATATAGCGTATAATCATGAAGATCAACAACTACTTACAAGCCAACTGTAATGCCTCTTACTGACATGAACATAAACATCTCTTATGTGTGTGTGTGTATCATTTGCAGATTCTTTAATAAGCACATGCGACATGTTTTAGAGATAACACGCAATAACTTGAGACATGTTATTCAACCGAATTGATTATTCGAAAAGGTATGAAAAATTCCAATTACAAGATTTACAACCTCGAAATATTTGACTCATTATTTTGGACTAATTATCGTAGAATTAATTCCACATTGTCTTAACACATGAATTAATTCCACAAATAATTACAATAAAATTTGCCTTATGGCATGCTTTCAGCAATATTTTGTCGCGGGAGATATACGTAAGTAATAACAATATTCGTTTTCTTGTAGTATCAGAGGACCAAAGGAAATAGAACCTGTTGATCAAGATCAATGTAGTGGTTTGTAGTGTTAAAGGAGCACATGAGAAGGGCCTTGTTGCCACGTACGTGAGGGTTTCGTTACTAGGGTGTATTCATGAATTTATATTTTAACTGCATATATTAACTGTATAATATAGTAGAAAAGACAATTTCTGTTATAAATTTTTAAGTTGGGCGTAGCGATACAAAACATGAGTTTGAAATTTTTTTTATCAAAGTCTCTAATGAACAAAAGTTTAGGGAGAGATTGATTGCTCTCTCCACCAGCGCCAGGGCATACCCACAATCTTGAGCTGGAAAGACTTATGCGTGACACCTAATTGTCAGACTTATGTGTGACACTTAACTGTTCGTTGCTACTGGTATGGATTTACATGAGAACTTACAAATTGCACGTCAATGAGGACTACTGGCAACGAGACTCGAACAGTAGTGGATGACACACAAGATAAGGACCTTACCACCCGAGGCAATCTTGGCAAAATTTATCAAAGTCTAAATTATATATATTACGAAAGAAATTAACAAAAAAAATAATCAAACGGAAAATTTGCCAAACGACCTACTTTATTAGTTTTTTTTTTTTTAAGGAGAGTGAGTATTGCATATATAGCATTTTCCATTACCAATTTACTTCATTGACGTGGATATTTATAGGGACAAAGTATATAAGTCGTCTGATAGCAGGGCAAGGCTAGGCAAGCCGATTGGAAGAGCAATTCCCTAAATGGGTGGAGGATATGTCTCTCTGAAAGATGCATTGGTAGATGGCATCTGGTGGTCGATCGACCTAATCTTGGACATGGAGTAGGGCAAGTAAGAGCTTTGACCTTGATGGAGGTTCTGTAGAACGTTCCACTGCTTACTGAGGTGCTCAGTGGGTAGGGCTGCAAGAGGTGACAACTCCTTCGGGGAAGGTCGTGATGCCTACATGTGGGCCAAGTGGTCTGCTCACCCCGTTAGTGGTAATTCCGTCATATTTAGCTCGCAATCCACTTAACACACTCTAATTGGGTGTCATATGGTCTATACAAGAATTAATATAAATGAAGAACATGACTCCATATGAGACACTACTAACTTTCTATTAAGAGTATATTGTAATTAAAGTATGATATCGTATTTGTCTAAGCTAGGAATGGCTATTCCATATATTGCGGGTCACGACTTCATAGGATTAGAATCAGGATTTGATTTTACTATTTGTATTTGTATATATATGGGCTACATAGCCTCTGTTTAATACATAGAAAATATTCAGCCATATTATTCCTCCATATATTCTTCCATATATCAATTCCAGGAATTAACTAGCTCTTTCTTAATTTGGCATCAACATAGGCTTTTCGATCCATGCCATCAAACCCTAGCAAAATACAAATACCATGGCAGACAACCAAACATCCAATCCCAACACAAACAATTCCAGCAACCCTAGTATGAATTTATCAATTCCATACTATGTTCATCCTTCAGATCACCCTGGCCATGTCCTTGTTTCTAAAAAACTGAATGGCACTAGTTATTCATCTTGGAGCAAATTTATTCTTCATGCCCTACGAGCCAAAAATAAAATTGGGTTCATCGATGGATTCATAAAACCCCCTTCAGAAGACGAAAAACCAAGTGACTATGCCCTATGGGCACAATGCAACATCATGATCCTATTATGGATTTCGAATTTGGTAGAGTCTCATCTCTTTAAAGGAGTTGTCCATGCCCAATTTGCATACAAGATTTGGCAGGATTTCAAGCATCAATTTTCACAGCAAAACACACCAACAGTTTACCAAATCCAGAAACAGATTGCTTCTCTATCACAAGGCTCCATGACCGTCTCAGCGTACTTTACAACACTCAAGCATCTCTGGACTCAACTCGATGGGTATGAAGACTCCATCATCCGTAACCTGATGGATAAGCATCATAAGCAACGAGAAAAATACCGAATTATGCAATTTCTTATGAGCCTTAACGATGTTCATGACATCGTTCGCACCGGCATTTTCATGATGATACCATTGCCCAATATTCATCAAGCTTATTCATTTGTCAGCAATCATGAGCAACAATGCCAGTTGTTGTTGGAACAACACCAATAATTGCCATACGATAATTTTTCCCTTGCTGCCGCAACGCAAACCTTCTATGACCAGTGTTGTGATCATTGTAATCGAGAGGGACACATCATCGACAATTGCTGCACTCTAAAATACCATTGCAACTTTTGTGACAAAATAGGATATACAGAGGACAGGTGCAAAATTAAAAATGGAACATGGGTGCCCAATCCCAATGGAGGCCATGTCAACAAAAATGGTCGAAAGCAATGCCATCAAGGAGGCTCTTCTTCACATCCTTTTCCTGCTGCCCATGCAACGGAAACAACTTCAAACTCTCAAGGGTCATCCATGCTGCAGCCAACATATCTTCCTACCTTCACCAATCTGTTGAGTGCACTCTCTGCAGATCAAATTCAACAGTTAACTCATGCTTTCTCTTTGCTTTCTTCTGGTAATGGGAACACTTATGCAAATGTCGCAGGTCCTAATTCTTTTTTTGTTATTTCCATTAATTTTGTGTTTACTAAGCCATGGATCTTGGATAACGGAGCTACATATCATATCGTTTCTGATTCCACTTTATTTACTAACACCAAACTTTTGTCTATACCCGTTGTTAATTTGCCCACTGATTTTTCAATCCCAATCACTTGCACTGGTACAATACCATTTAATTGTGATATAACTTTAGCCAATGTCTTGTGTGTTTCGTCTTTTAATCTCAATCTCATGTTCGCCAGCAAAGTCACTGACTTTCTCAATTGTTGTGCCATTTTGTTTCCCACTTTTTGTGTTTTGCAGGACTTGGCTTCAGGGAAGATGATTGGTTTAGGTAAAATGCGTGGTGGTCTTTACTACATGTCACCTATCCACCGGACACCTGCCTCTCATCAAGTCTCTCATCCTTCCAATTTATGGCACCAAGGACTTGGGCATCCATCCCCTTCTCGTCTTAAATTAGCTTCTTCTTTGTTATTTTCTAAGGCTGTTTCCTTTGACAATAATTGTAATGTCTGTCATTTGGCCAAACAGACAAGACTTCTGTTTTCTTTAAGTTCAATATCAACACATGCACCGTTTGTTTTATTACATTGTGACATATGAGGTCCTTACAAAATTCCCACTCATTCTAGGGCTCGTTTCTTCCTTACAATTGTGGACGATTTTAGTCGATGCACTTGGGTGTTTTTAATGTCTAAAAAATTTGAAACACAAAATCTCTTGAAGTCTTTTATCACCTTTGCTCACACTCAGTTCCATGCCACAATTAAAAACATCGAGTAAACAATGCGTCTGAATTCCTATCAATGATGGATTATTTTCAATCTAATGGTATTGAACTTCAACCACTTTTGTTTACACCCCTCAACAGAATGGGGTCATTGAACGCAAACATTGCCTTATGCTTAGAGTGGCACATGCTTTACGTTTTCAGTCTAACATACCCATCATCTTTTGGGGTGATTGCGTACTCACTACCGTCTATCTCACCAACTGTTTACCTTCACCCCTACTTTCCAACAAATCACCTTTTGAACTATTATACAAACGTCCACCATCCCTTGAGCATCTAAGAGTTCTTGGATGTCTCAGTTATGCTATCCTACCCACAAATTTGAACCTAAAGCTCACCGGTGTATTTTCGTTGGCTATCCCATAGGTCACAAAGGGTATATACTTTATAGCTTGGAAACTAAACAGTTTTTTATCAATTGTGATGTAAAATTTCATGAAACTTCATTCCTATTTTCTAATCTTTCATCTCATGATTCTCATTCCCTTGCCCTTAACCTCATAAATCAGGACCCCACCTCTCTTTCTCCCATTTCCCATTTAACTC